TGTGTGTGTGTGTGTGTGTGTGTGTGTGTGAGAGAGAGAGAGAGAGAGAGAGAGAGAGAGAGAGAGAGAGAGAGAGAGAGAGAGTCAATAAGTCTCGAACCTCGTGGTTCGGGCTAGAATATGGAAATATACACTACCTGGTTGCCGCGCGGGGTTGGAGACTCGTGGTTCGGGACTTATTGACTCTCTCTCTCTCGCGCGCGCGCGCGGCAACCAGGTAGTGTATATTTCCATATTCTAGCCCGAACCACGAGGTTGGAGACTTATCGACTCTCTCTCTCTCTCTCTCTCTCTCTCTCTCTCTCTCTCTCTCTCTCTCTCTCTCTCCACCCCACACACACACACACACACACACACACACACACACACACACACACACACACACACACACACACACACGAACGATTCATTCCGATTTTGCTATAAAGTGGCAGTGTTTATTTCCACATTTCAGGGGAAGATTCATTCCGATTTTACTCATCTTATCGATGGAATGTGTGTGTGTGTGTTATGTTTTTATTGCGTGGCTGCTGCGACCGTGTCGCAGCATGTTGCGTCAAAAGGTGTGCTTAGAAACAACACTGGGAAAGAGCCCGCAGCCCGGGAAGCCCATAGAAAAGAATGCTCATACAGCCCAGCACACAAAAGGTCATAAAACGACTCGGATGACACACTGTAGCAATGAACAAGGGGTGGGGGGTACGGGGGAGGCGGAGGGGCAGACAAACAGCACTAGGTAGAAGAATGAGGCACTAGACAAAGCAGCACGGCAACACAGCAACAAGGCAGACAAACAACACTAAGCACAGGGGAAGTCAAGGTGGGCGGGCAGGCAAACAGCACTAAGCAGAAAAACAAGGTGGACAGTGAAGCAACAGCACGGAACGTAGGCTGGAGGGCATGGGGGAGGCGGAAAAGCAGACACACAACAGACAGGAAAACAAGAAACAGAAAGGCAAAGGAGACAACAAAACAGACAAAGGAACAAGTAACGAAAAAACAAAAAGCGAAAAAAATAAACTGATGATAGATTGTTTCGTCGGAGTTGCACCGACTCATCAGGAGGCTGAACCCTCTACAATCTGCGGAATCCCCGTATTTGATGGTTTGGGTCATGAACCCTTTGGCCCATGTTGAAGGCAGACTGTCCCCAAGAGGAACACAGCAGCAACAACACTGCAGGGGACGACAAGGCGAGTGAACCAGCAGTTGGGCAACCATGGAGCGGAGCACAAGGCACCAGCAACAAGGCAACCAACCTACAGGGAACACACGCGGCAAGCACGGAAGGCATGGCCAACAAATGAGCAGCACGGCAGCGGAGCAGCGAAGCGCAAGGCAACACCAACAACACGGCCACACCGCACAGCGAACACATCAACCCGCAAAGAACCACACGCGAAGCAAGCGGGACAGGCAGCAGGGCAGCGGCGGAGCGCAGACGAGGACGTCCACACATCCAACACGGAGCAAAGCAGCACATGACCTACTCACATCACGATAGAACCCCGCAGACTGTTGGTTCCCACCACCCACTGAGCCAGGGAGTCACTCCGACGAACATCCGTTATCACCGACAGGCAACACAGACATCCCGAACCGAGCAGCCCCCATACGAGTGCAGTAGGCACTCCAAACGAGGAACCACCGACTGTTTGGCACTGTTAGAGGGTGCCCAGTTGGGCACACACAAAAAGACTTAAACGGAATCAGAGGGAAGACAGACAACAAAAGAAAGACTGAGAGACATAAAACTGATTGTGTGTGTGTGTGTGTGTGTGTGTGTGTGTGTGTGTGTGTGTGTGTGTGTGTGTGTGTGTGTGTGTGTGCACTGTATCTGTTGCAGCCAGTGAAAATATGGCACATGGCCTTGCACAACCATCACCTTCACACTGTCAGATCAGTGGGGATATGTCTGCAGAGGACATCATTCATGATATGGAAGGGGTGAGAAGGACCAAGTTTGATGGCATATTCACACAAGGGTTGTTG